TCCGCCACCACGTGTGTTTTTTGTCATCTGGGAGCGAGGTACTCACGCGAACACAGCAAACGATCCTGCCTTGTCCGGCAACCTTCGCCAACGCAGCACTCGCGGACCGCACCCCACCCTCGCGGTACAGGTACACCACCCCACGTCCGCGTAATTTCCTGGATCGGCTCAGCAACGCCCTGTCAGCAGCGAGTGCAGCACAACCTGAAAGTGTTCGCGTACGCGCTTAAGACGCGCATTCAGCAGCCAAATCTGACTTTTCGCTAATAACCTCCCGTTATTTTCGAGCAATTGCGCCTCATAACCGCTCACACATGAATGCATGAGCGGCAATGATGTTCTTCGACTATGAGCAAAAAACAGACAACGAGGCGGTGCCATTGGCATGGCGGTTGTCAGGTGTTATGCATGCCGGGGTGACCTTGAAACAGTCTGCAGGAAACACTTCCCACGAGTTCGCTTCCCTCACGCTCAGGTACAAGAGGGGTTTAACACTTAAAAAGCGGTGTCGCTCTGAACTGCTTCGAATGACCTCCAGGATGGCTATTTCAGTTCAAACCTCATACGAATGTGGAACATACCCTTCAATTGTGTACAGCCAGGTCCATCGAGGAGAGCTCGTTTGCGGCAGAATCTTGTGTAGTCACCAACCACTCAGCGAGCACGACTGACATGGCCAAGGATCAGTATTTACCGAAAATTAGTAAAGGGTTGCCTTATACGTTCAGTGCAACAGACACATAACATGCTCCCTGACTTCTGAATGGTGAAAGATGAACCCGCATGCGCTTTTTAACATCTATAATTGTGTTACATGACTATAGCTTACGTTATTTTTTAGTGCCGTGGCACTCATATTAATACCCAGTTTTCATCATCGGCATATATTTAATTTCAAGATTACAAAAATATATTCAACGGAACCGAATAAAACTCTCAAGAATCGATTTGAAAAGGCTAACACCATGACCTATGTCTCAGGTTTTAATTTAAAGTTCGCATTGTGCGCGTTCTCACCCTTTTCTTCTACTTTTATTCTACAGAAATTACCTTTCATATGTCGTCTTTCCAAAAATCAATGCCATGAAAGGGAATGAGTACCTAAATAGCCATCTCCTGCCTCAAACGTGGCCTATATTTTACGTATTTGGGCATTTGGACCTCACCAAAATGAGGCAGGTGTCCGTCGACTGGTATGCGCCTCCATTGCATTGGAAACCACTCAGCTTTCTTTCCAAGTTGGTATGAGTGTTCATTTGGTGCGTTGCATCCACCAAGCGCAGCTTCAGCTCCGCGTGATATGCGGATCACGACAATCATAGCCCTAGGTAACTCATCGGGCTCGACGTTACGTTGGTAGGCGCCGACCCCCGTAGCACCAGCACAGCTACAAATTTAAGGTAAGTGTTACAAGGTCATGTCTGGTTGATCCTGCAGTGTAACAATAAAGCACAGGCAACGAGCTCGGCAGCCGGTTCCG